TGGAAAAAATAGATCAAGATGTGTAGTTGTCTGTAGCAGTAGAAAAGAGCCAGAGTCCAGGAGCACCTGAAAAACTAACAAAATTTGTGGCAGGGGAGGAGCTTTCATCAGTCACTGCTCACTTCAGATACAGCTAAAATGTCAGTCCACCTGGTTATATCTGATGAAGTGAGCAGTGACTCACAATAGCTGAAGAAGCGAACAGTGACTCATGAAAGCTGCTCCCCTGCCACTAATTTTGTTAGTCTTTAAGGTGCTACTAGACTCTTCTAACAATCTGAAGAAGTGAGCCGTGACTCACAAAAGCTCATCCCCTGCCACAAATCTGGGCCCCGGTCACACGGGCCGGATACTGTGGGGGGGAGGCGTGGCTGGTTGCCCCGGAGCGAACTACCACACGGCCGCCGGATCAAACGTCCCGCCCGACGTCCCGTGGTTTGGGGGGAGGTGCTGACCATACGTCAATCCTGCGACGTGGCAAAGAAGCGGCGTGGCGGGGGTTGTGGTTTTTTTAAACCGAAGTGTGCACATGCGCTGTTAGGTGCTTGTGCACATCCCATGGAGACTTGAAAAAAAACACACCCTTTTCGCGACGGGACATGGGCGGGCGCCGGATGCCACGAGCTACCACCGGAAACTTGATCAGACGCCCGCCCTTGCCCCGCGGTTTCCGGAAACTGGTACCTCGGAGGTACTAGTTTTTTACGGCGCATCTTCGGCGGAAAGCCTCGGGTTAGCCACGGGAGCTCTACGCTTCCCAGATGTTGCAGTTTGATCGCACCTGGAAAATCCGCCTATCTTTCGTCTCTGTAGCGTGGCTAATGCTCCGTGTGACCGCAGCCCTTGTTAGTCTTTAAGGTGCTACTGGACTCTTCTAACGATCTGAAGAAGTGAGCCGTGACTCACAAAAGTTCATACCCTGCCACTAATCTTGTTAGTCTTTCAGGTGCTACTGGACTCTTCTAACGATCTGAAGAAGTGAGCAGTGACTCACAAAAGCTCCTCCCCTGCCACAAATATTGTCAGTCTTTAAAGTGCCACTGGATTCTTGCTCTTTTCTATTATTGGGGACTGTGGTATACCTTCCTGAAACTAGGACCCTGTTACAGAGTTTTGCATCATTTAATGTGTCATGTCCACACTTTGCTTCAGTTCTGTTCTTTCCTTGTTTATTGGTTGTCCCCCCTATCAATTGCATTGACTCACTCTGTGTAATCTGCCTTAAGTCCAAGTGAGAAAGGCAGACTGTAAATAGTGTAAATATACGGTTCTGTGTATATTGCACACTACGAGCAATGCAGCAGCAGAGGGCCCCTTACAAGGCTTTGAACCAAATGCATTCACTACCAGAGCCAAAATGGTGCAGTGGACAACGGGTGGCCTCAGATCCTGAAGTTCATGAGGTGGACCAGTGGCTTCCTCTCGGGCTAAGCTCCATCGCAGGATTGTTGTACGGATAAAGAAGAGTACCATTATGTCATAGAATCATAGAGTTTGAAGGGATCTCAAGGGTCATCTAGTCCAACCCCCTGCACAGTGCAGGGAATTCACAAATACCTTCCCCCCACACAGCCCCAGTGACCCCTGCTCCATGCCCAGAAGATGGCCAAAAAACCCCTTCCAGGATCCCCAGCGAAACCAGCCTGGAGAAGAATTGCTTCCTGACCCCAAAGTGGCGATCAGCATTTCCCTGAGCGTGTAAGAACATAAGAGAAGCCAATGTTGCATCACGCCAAAGGCCCATCTAGTCCAACACTCTGTTACACAGTGGCCAAAAATACCGGGGGCCATCAGGAGGTCCAGCATTAAGAACATAAGAGAGGCCAATGTGGCATCAGGCCAATGGCCCATCCAGTCCAACACTCTGTCACACAGTGACCAAAAATACCAGGTGCCATCTGTAGGTCCAGCAGTGGGGCCAGGACACTAGAAGCCCTCCCACTTTTGCCCCCCCCAAGCACCAAGAAGACAGAGCATCACTTGCCCCAGACTGAGAGTTCCTATCTATACCTAAGAACATAAGAGAAGCCAATGTTGGATCAGGCCAATGGCCCATCCAGTCCAACACTCTGTTTCACACAGTGACCAAAAATACCAGGTGCCATCTGGACACTAGTGGGGCCAGGGGACACTAGAAGCCCTCCCACCATTGCCCCCCCCAAGCACCAAGAATA